AAAAAATCCAGATGCTTGGCAACTGACTCATATTTATGACGGTTGCAGTGTCCCGGGGTCATGTGATCCCCCCAAATAATCAACTTTACCCAGATTTATCTTTGAAGTCACCAGAGTTGAGCTTAGCTTAGAAGCATCTTTACTGCCATAACTAGTAGGGCAGCCATTTTGTGACAGTGCTTGAAATTCTACCAGGCTTTCTTTTAGAGCAGGGGGTCTTCAAACTTGGCCCTTTTATGACTTGTGGACTTCAACTCCCAGAATTCCTCAGCCAGGCACGCTGGCTGGTCCCCAAGTCATAAAAGGGCCAAGTTTGAAGACCCCTACCTTAGAGGAATGAGCTGTTCTCTGGAGCAATGTTTCTCGACTTGAAGAGATGTGGACTTCAACTCCCAGCATTCCCCAGCCAATTATGGCTGGCTGGGGGATGCTAGGAGTTGAAGTCCACACATCCTAGAGTTACCAAGGTGGAGTGACCCTGTTTACTGGCATCATTTCTGATCTGGGAACAACCTATGCACTGTGAGGACTAGGAGCCAAGAATTAATTTAATTAAATTAAAGCAAGGTGTAGCTTTAAGCAGAGAGTTGTAGGACTTTAGCCAAGTTCAAACATTCCCCTCTCCTCCCTTTTTCACACTGCTTTTCAGGATGATCTACTGCAGAGGTCTTCAAACTTGGCCCTTTGATGACTTGTGGACTTCAACTCCCAGAATTCCTCAGCCAGGCACGCTGGCTGAGGAATTCTGGGAGTTGAAGTCCACAAGTCATAAAAGGGCCAAGACTGAAGACCCCTATTTTAGAGAGTAATTGAGGCCACCTGTGTCCTCAGGATCACCTGAGTAGTGCAAATGTGCGTAGAGCAGGGGTCTTCAAACTTGGCCGTTTTATGACTTGTGGACTTCAACTCCCAGAATTCTTCAGTCAGAGTGCCTGGCTGAGGAATTCTGGGAGTTGAAGTCCACAAATCATAAAAGGGCCAAGGTTGAAGACCCCTGTTCTAATATCACAGCAGGCGCCAATCACGTTAGCCTTCTTATACAGCAGTCTTCCTGCCTTAGTCCCTCAAACTTCTTCTTTAAATATATGACTGACTGAGAACTAACTACTAGGGGGGGGAAAATTCACACACACGTATCCAAAAAAACCAACAAACCTTAAGAAGAGCAGGCATATGAGGAAGGGATTAATCCAGGGGTCTTCAAACTTGGCCCTTTGATGACTGGTGGGCTTCAACTCCCAGAATTCCTCAGCCAGGCACGCTGACTGAGGAATTCTGGGAGTTGAAGTCCACAAGTCATAAAAGGGCCAAGTTTGAAGACCCCTGATATAGGACAAGGGTGGGCAACTTTATGACCTGTGAACTTCAACTCTCAGAAATCCTGAGTCAGACATATTGGCTGGGGAATTCTGGGAGTTGAAGTCCACAAGTCATAAAAGGACCAAGTTTGAAGACCCCTGATATAGGACAAGGGTGGGCAACTTTATGACCTGTGAACTTCAACTCTCAGAAACCCTGAGTCAGACATATTGGCTGGGGAATTCTGGGAGTTGAAGTCCACGTCATAAAAGGGCCAAGTTTGAAGACCCCTGGTGTAGAGCCTTCTTGGCTGCAGGGGATGTTTTCTGCCCTGTGTCCCTTCTCCGTTGACGACAAGCGCAGGCTGTTGGGGATGAGTCTGTGTTGTCTGCATTTCAAACTTGGATTTCCGGAACGGATTTCCAGAAAACCCTGCTGCAGACTACAGGAACCATTTGCAGTTTGAGATGCAGACAACACAGACTCATCCCCAACAGCCTGCGCCTCTCTAAAAGAAGGCAAATGACCGGCTGTCTGCAAGGAGTATAAATCCTTCCCTTCCCCACCATCCAGTCAGAGCTAAAGAAGCTTCTGGGATGAGAAGCGAAACATCTTCAAAGGAAAAACAAGAAAGTCCAGTTGCTTCCTGAAAAAAAGCACTTTTGGGACACCTTTGGAATTGCTGGTCTTAATTATGGTTGTTAAATCGACGATACCTTTGATATATTTTACATTTTGCTGGTTTCAGGGCCCTTACCTGGACGAAAACGGACATCTGGGGCTCTTCCATGGATTGCAGGGCTGTGTCCACCAGCTTGGAAGAAGATTCGATGTGGTCGCTGCAAATTTTGCTCAGCCCTTTCAGATGCTGGGTCTTGCGCTCCTGTTCGTAAGTGACCCGTTGCAGCATGATCTTTCTCCGCTCTTCCAAAATAGCCCCCATGCGGTCAAACTTCTCACAAAGGGCCTGCTTCTGAGCGTTGCAATTTGCCTGCTCAAGAGGGAAGGGTCAGGCGATACATCCAGGTTAGATGGTCTAATAAGCCATTTGCCACCAAAAGATTAGTAAAAAATGTTTAAAAACATGTCAGAGAAATGTTGGAAATGTAAACACAAACCCGGTACTTATTATCATATGTGGTGGACATGTGTTAAAGCAAGGAGATATTGGACAATAATCCACACTTGGTTAGAAAAAATGTTAGAGAATACATAGACCAGGGTTAGGCAACCTTGGTTCTTTTATGACTCGTGGACTTCAACTCCCAGAATTCCTGAGTCAACATGGGGGAACTATGGCTCCCTCATGACTCGTGGACTTCAACTCCCAGAATTCCTGAGCCAGCCTGGCTCAGCTTGGAAACGTCTCCCTTTCCCCTCAGCATGGCTGGCTCAGGAATTCTGGGAGTTGAAGTCCACACCTCTTAAAGTACCCAAGGCTGAGAAACAGTGGGCTAGGCCAGGGGTAGGCCACCTTGGCTCTTTTATGACTCGTGGACTTCAACTCCCAGAATTCCTGAGCCAGCCACGCTGAGGGGAAAGGGAGAGGTTTCCANCCTGGCTCAGCTTGGAAACGTCTCCCTTTCCCCTCAGCATGGCTGGCTCAGGAATTCTGGGAGTTGAAGTCCACACCTCTTAAAGTACCCAAGGCTGAGAAACAGTGGGCTAGGCCAGGGGTAGGCCACCTTGGCTCTTTTATGATTTGTGGACTTCAATTCCCAGAATTCCTGAGCCAGCATGGCTCAGCTTGGAAACCTCTCCCTTTTCCCTCAGCGTGGCTGGCTCAGGAATTCTGGGAATTGAAGTCCACAAGTCATAAAAGAGCCCAGGTTGCCTACCCCTGACCTAGACCAAACTGGCTCATTTGCAACATTCAGTGGTCACATGACCACATTTTATGACAGTTTTGCTGAAAAAAACCAGCATTTTTGGTTTTCAGCAAAACCATGCCTGTAGCCAACAATGGGTTCACATTTATGAGCACTGCATCCACTTAATGACCACTGCAAAAATGTCATAAGATCGGGTCGGTCACTGGGTTGGGCAGGCAGTCATAACTTGAGGACTGCCTGTATTTCTTTATTCCAGTTAATTATCTTGTGTGAATGCAGTCCTTGAAAATGTTTGGGGGGTGTCAAGAAGTCTGGAAGCCATTCCTGGTTTTCAGAAAAAAAAATTAGAAGATGAATTGGGGCCTACCTCAACATTCCTGCCCTTGCTTTGGAGTTCCGCCATGTACGTTTGGATCCTGTCATTGGCTGCCACAAGAGCCCCGATTCCATCGGTCAGCAACGCCTAGATAGGAGCAGACAGCCTTGCGGTCAAGATCTGTATTTATTTTATTCACACCCCACCTTTATTATCTTCTTGTAAATAACTCAAGGCAGCAAACATCTTATTCTTACCATTTTCCCCACAAAAACAACCCTGTGGAGCGGGGTGGGCTGAGAGAGAAGGACTGGCCCAAGGTCACCCAGCTGACTTTGATGCCTAAGGCGGGACTAGATCTCACAGTCTCCTGGTGATTGGCCCAAAGTCACCAAGCTGGCTTTGATGCCTAAGGCGGGACTAGAACTCACCGTCTCCTGGTGATTGGCCCAAAGTGACCAAGCTGGCTTTCATGCCTAAGGGAGGACTAGAATTCACAGGCACCTGGTGATTGGCTCAAAGTCATCAAGCTGGCTTTCATTCCTAAGGCGGAACTAGAACTCACCATCTCCTGGTGGTTGGCCCAAAGTCATCAAGCTGGCTTTCATTCCTAAGGCAGGACTAGAACTCACAATCTCCTGGTGATTGGCCCAAAGTCACCCAGCTGGCTTTGATGCCTAAGGCGGGACTAGAACTCACCATCTCCTGGTGGTTGGCCCAAAGTCACCAAGCTGGCTTTGATGCCTAAGGGAGAACTAGAATTCACAGGCACCTGGTGATTGGCTCAAAGTCATCAAGCTGGCTTTCATGCCTAAGGCGGAACTAGAACTCACCATCTCCTGGTGATTGGCCCAAAATCACCCAGATGGCTTCCATGCCAAAGGTGGGATTAGAACTCATGGTCTCCTGGTGATTGACCCAAAAAGTCACACAGCCAGCTTTCATGCATAAGGCAGCACTAGAACTCACCATCTCCTGGTGATTGGTGCACAGTGTGCCATTCTGACTATAAAGGCTGCCTTGCCCTGCCCTGCCCTGCCCTGCCCTGCCCTGCCCTGCCCTGCCCTGCCCTGCCCTGCCTTGCCTTGCCTTGCCTTGCCTTGCCTTATCTCGGCAGGCTGGGGCGCACCTTCTGCTTTGTGCAGATATCCGAGAGTGGAGCCACTTCGCAATCCTTGTGTTCCCCGAAAACCTTGCACAGCGAGCATGTGGGAACAGCGCACGTCACACAATAAATGTTGATCCTTTCCTCCTCGTGCTCTTCGCAGGTTGCCTGCTCGCTTTTTAACAGAGGTCTGTTATAGAAGAAAGAAAAATATTGGGGGGGGGGGGGTTGAGAAGAATGTACAATGGGAGGAAGAATAGATCTCCCCATGGTTTCTAAATCCCCTTTAATTCTGTATTGGGTCAAATCTGCTGCCCAGTTTTTAAGAGTCTACCTGGATCTAGCAAGCTGGAATAATAACCCCTTGGCGAGTTGGGATGGCAAAGAAGTTTAACAAACAAACAAACAAACACGCCCACATTTGGGGATGAGGGTGAAAGATTCCCCAGAATAGCTGAGAAGGCGGGCCCACCTCTCTGGTCCGCTTGCTGGCGCTTGCTTGTAGATATCGATGATGTTCTCCACCAGTAGATTCCGTTGCAAGCCGTAGATGCCGTGTCTGTCCAGGACAACTTCGTGGCGGCAGGATGGGCAGCGGAATCTCCCTGCAGAGCCCAGGGTGGTCCCTCGAGACTACGGGGTGCAAGAGGATCAATACACCAACAGGTAAGGTAGATGCTCGCTTTGAGGCAGCTTTGCTATATGGAGAGTTCCCCGTGGAGCGCTCAAGTGCAGTTGAAACCATCAGAATGTCTGGTTGGTTAAAGCTGCATTTCGGGAGGGGAGAAGGGGAAAGGGGAAGGGGAAGGAAGAGGAGGAGGAGAAGGGAGGCAGGGAGGGAGGAGAAGGAGCTGGAGAAGGAGAGGAAGAGGGAAGCAGGGAGGAAGGGGAAGGGGAAAGGAATGAGGAAAGAGATGGAGGGAGGAGAAGGAGCTGGAGAGGGAGAGGAAGAGGAGAACGGAAGGAGGGAGGAAGGAAGAGGGAGGGGAAAGGAATGAGGAAAGAGAGGGAGGAAGAAGGAGAAGGAGAAGAAGGAGGAGAGGGGAGGGAGAGGGAGAGAGGGAGGGAGAGAAGGAGGAAGGGGAGGAAGGGAGGGAGGAAGGAAGAAGGAGTTGGAGGAGAGGGAGAGGAAGAGGGAGGCAGGGAGGAAGGGGAAGAGGAAAGGAATGAGGAAAGAGAGAGGGAGGGAGGAAGGGGAAGAGGAAAGGAATGAGGAAAGAGACAGGGGGAGGAAGGAAAAGGAGAAGGAGCTGGAGAAGGAGAGGAAGAGAAAGGAGGAAGGAGAAAGGGATGAGGAAAGAGACGGAGGGAGGAAGGTGAAGGAGGAGAAGGAGCTGGAGAAGGAGAGGAAAAGGAGGGAAGGAGGAAGGAAGGAAGGGGAGGGGAAAGGAATGAGGAAAGAGAGGGAGGAAGGAGGAGGAGAAGGAGAAGGAGAGGGAGAGAGAGAGGGAGGGGATGAAAGAGGAGAGAGGGGATGAAGGAAGGAATCAGGTGCTCTCTTGGGCTGTGTTTCAAGGGCATCAGATATTATTTAGTCCTTTGAACTAATGCCCAAATCATTCTCCACTTGAAATTTAGGTCTTCAGAAGAGGACCAAGCTGAGCTGGTCCTCTTTAGATGACCATGTGACGGCCGTGGCCAGATACGCCAGTTGCGCCCCTTTCTGGATCGGGACGCCCTACACACGGTCACTCAAGCCCTCGTTGTTTCCCGCCTGGACTATTGCAATGCTCTCTACATGGGGCTCCCCTTGAGGTGCACCTGGAGGCTCCAGCTAGTTCAGAATGCGGCTGCGCGGGGGATTTTGGGGGCCTCTAGATGCTCCCATGTAACACCTCTCCTGCGCGAGCTGCACTGGCTGCCGGTGGCCTTCCGGGTGCGC